TTCATACGTTCCAATTCGTTCTGTGGTGAAGAACCAGTTAAAATAACGCGTTCAGCATCTTCACCTTTACCATCAATTCCAACTTCTGTCGAAGTCATATTTACTAAAGAGAAGTAGTTACTCAATATCTTAGTTCGTCATTTTACGTAGAACTGTAATCATCTGTTTTTGATTGCTCTAATAGATACTCTGAACTGTGTTGAGTCGACTGGGGATGCTGTAGAAAAAAAGTACACAGCTACAAATTACAACTTGTCGAAAGACTTCAGGCTCGTAAACTTCAAATTTAGAGCTCACTTAACTTGACCATTAAATTATTAGCTTAAAGTATATTTTAAATAAAATCTCTTGGATTCACATGTCTACAAGTTTTGCTGAATTCTAGTTTAGAAAAGAAACTACACGTATTATTCATATTATCTTCTAACCATTTGACCTAAAATCAATATTCTAGACAAAACTTCTAATTACAATATTGTGATTAAAAATTTAAGAGACCTCTATCTTTTAAACTCCATTTTTTCTCTTCTATTCTGGCTAAATATATTAGTTTTCAAATGAATAAGATAATACGTAAATATTCTATACTAAAGTAGATAAAATCAAACTACTCACTAGTCTAAATTTTATGAGAAAAAAAACTGTGTAATACTATATATGATTTATTTTTTATTAGAAGAAAGGCGACTGCAAGGTTTTTATCTAAGAATAAGACATAGGAAAATATTCTCTATCGAATAGTATATATATATATTATCAAACTGTGGTGTGCACCAAAAAAAATGAATTATATTCAAGAAATTTAGTTTACTCCAATGCAAGTCTTTAATTGGCCTGATTTTCAGCCAAACATTAATTTTTTCGGTACATACTAGAATTTGATAATATATATATACCATTCGATAGAGAGAATTTTTCTGTCTTATTCTTAGGCCAAATTTTACTATAAAACTTATAGTCGCATTTGTATTGAAAAATAAATTGAAAGAAAAGAAAAGAAAAGGCACTGTCTTATATAATTAATAAATAAAAAAATAATTTAAAATAGTGCTTTCTTTTTACATACACTCAAATATCATAAAAAGAATTTTAAACATCGACATTTATCATGCCTCAGTTTTTACAAAAAAAGAAATAACTCGACTTTACTATATGTTTATTAGGTTAAAAATATTATTGAAACGAAAAAGGAACTTATTTTAAAGGAAATTTGTGTAAATTTAACGATTTAATCAAATTCTTTTTTTTTCTATTCGAAAAATACTATTTTTTTTAGATAAATTGTAAAAAGAAAATCTTAGTTTAATAAAAAATTTAGTAGAGAAAATTTTACGAAAACTTACTTTCTCCGAGAGAAGAAACCTTCAAAATGAAAAAGAAAGATATTATATATGATAGAATAACAAAAAAAAAGTATTGTTTCAAAGGTAAAACTTTTTTTTTACTAAAATAAAATAATTCATTGGAAACCATCTGTTTTTCTTTACGGGTTATTTATAATCAGAAAAAAAGGTTTTCCTTTCCAAGGAAAAAAAAATATTTTTTAGAATTTGACAATCATAAATATAGATATTTAAGAGTCAATTATCTATTAGAAGAAATTCGTAAATTATACTTGTATTTCATTTGAAATCTATTTGTTATTATCATCGAAATTTATTTCTATAAAACGACATAACCAATTTATGACTAATTAGAAAATATTGGTATATAATAAACTTACTTTTGTTTCTATAGATATTAGAATCGTTTCTTTTTTTCTGATTCTAACAATTAGTAATATTAGTTGACGTTGTCAAATATTTTCTAATCGAATGTTACATTCAATTTTAAATATAGACAAGTAAATAATAATATAATGCAAATTTTATTTACAAAATGCATAAGAAATAATAGAAAAAATACATAGATGAATATATTTTCACTGTTTATTGAACAATAAAATGAAAAAAGATTATTTTAATTGATAAAATAATAATAATGAGTTCGATGTTTTATTTTTATTATATAAAAACTAATAAAAAAATATTCGAAAATCTTTGATTTACATATAAAATAATTCTCATTTGTTAGACAATACATACTGCATGAATCATAAGCTAGGAAATACAATATTATTTTCATATCTATCTTATAAATTGTCGATTGGTTATTCGAACTGCCGAAATAATTTAACAATTATCGAGTATTTTATTATTTTGTGCATATAGACTCATTTAAATAATTTTTCTTGTTCATAATAGATCTGATTATAATCATCATTGAAATGTGTATACGAGAAAGAGGGTCAATATTCAAATTATTTGTTAATATTTTCTTGATAGGATGTGGGTTAGTTGAAAGAAGATACGTATCCACCGCTCTACACGCTTTTGTTCCGTTATAAAGTCGATCATTTTATTTAATGATTATTTAAACAACATTTTCAACTATTTGCACAAGAAAAAGGATATGAGACGTGTGGCAAACACTCGTTTGATTACTTTCAAGCACTATTAACTTTAGTGTGTTGACGCCATTCTTCACAACGTCTGAAATCTGTGTCGACGGTAGCTGTCAAACGATACAAGTATCCAAAATTCAGAATTTATTTGTTAGTATGAAAGAAAAATAAATAGAATCTATAGTTAGAAATATTACTTTTATTTGATTGTGAGAACAAATGACTTTCACATTCAAACGATGATATATGTTTTTGGCTATCGGTTAGTTGTCGTCGGTTTGTTTTTTCAATGGATCACGTATGTATTGTATTTCATCATTATCTTCTATGAAATGAGTTATTTTGATATTTTTGTTGCAGGCCATCGAATGAAGTAGCTGGTAAGTAAAATCTGTCGAAAAACTGATCAAATTACTTTTGTTTAGTCTGTAACGACACTGCTAACTGGATTAATGGTGCATGGCATCCTTGTAACGACTATCATTTTAATACATCGTGGTGTGTTAATGGTTACTTCCAACCGAGTACCTACTGGACAGGAGGTAGTTTATTTCTTTATCCTGAGTTCAACTGTTGTGATTGTGGCAAAGGTAACTCACTATTTTTTCAACCATATATTTCATGACAGTTTTTGAACATTGTTAGGATGGCCAGTATGGTTCGTTCCAAAGGCAGGTTATGAAGCTACCAAAGCTGTTCCTGAGTTAACAGACAATGGTAGAAATTCGAGTGTTACTAATTTAAAATGCATCGATCCTATGGGGAAATCCGGTTTGTGTAATATGGCATGTAAGACATGGGAATATCCAGTCATATCGATTACAAATATTACTAGCAACAATTTTAATTTTTACAATTGCACACTGAATTTACAGACGACAAATGCGTCAATGTCATATACTCTCCAAATTCCTCAAAATAACTATATAGTTTATTTTACTAATTGGGCAACAAGTGACTACAATTTTTCGTGCTTGGGTACAACTATACCACCAAATTCTTCGATGTTATGTCGACATGATGTTGCCCAGTGTCTGTCACCAGCAACTACATACCGATGTGTATCGCCAAGTACGCATTGTCAGCTTCGTAAATCTAGTATTAGCGAATCTGCCTTTTATTTAGATTGCATTGATACATCGAATTGGATAAACAACAATACTGCAAATAGTGAAACAACAGCATTTACTTGTTATTCATATGAAGTTGTCTCTCGAGTATGTTCTGGAGGAACTGCCACGCCAGGTAATCAATGGGCACTAGGCTCAATGTACAATTATCCTGAGTTTAACTGTTGTGGTTGTGGCAAAGGTAATCTAATAACTTGTTCTTTGATATTATGGAATTTCTTCGGTATGTTTAGGATGGCCACTATGGTTTGTTCCATTAGCAGGCTTTGTAGCTACAAGAGCAGTTCCAGAATTCACGAACAATACACAAAATTCGAATGTCACTAATCTTCAATGTATTGATATCTACGGCAATAGCCGACCATGTAACATGACATGTAAATTATGGACAAATCCATTGACATCAATTGAAACAATTGCCACTGACGATTTCAGTTTGTTCAACTGTACATTGATTATACGGACAATGAATGCATCCATGTCATACGTTGTTCAGATTCCTTCAGATAATTATCTAGTGTATTTTTCGAATTGGACAACAAGTGACTATGATTTCTTATGTGGAGGCAATCAAGCACTACCAAATGTTTCTATGCTATGTCGACATGATTTTATGCAATGTCTATCAACGCAAGTGACAAATAGATACGTACCAGCAGGTAACTATGTACAGCTTAACTAATAGAATACAAGTGTATCTTCTCTTTGACTAAATTGTGTTGATACACTAAATTGGACAAATTTGTATACTGGAAGTCCTAATCATAAAGGATACAGCTGTTTCGAATATGAATTTGTTTTTGGAATGTGTATAGGAGGAACTTTTACCCCAAACAGTCAATGGTCGTTAGGCAAAAATTTCAATTTTCCAGAACTTAATTGTTGTGCTTGTGGGAAAGGTATACTAGTTGTTTTTTCTATTCATCAATATGACTAATGTTTCTGATTTTTTAACAGGCTCACAGACTCCATATAAATTGGTAGATATATCTCCAAAAAGTAGTTCAGCTATTCCGTCTGATATGGATGTTATTGACCTATACAACTGCATTACTTCACCCGCGTACATCAATTTGCGTTTCAACTTTAAATGTTTGGGTCCATCCAGTTTTAATAAAATAAATACTACAGCGAACACAACTCTTTATAATTGTCCAATAAACTGTTTTTTTGATAGAAATCATACTACAATCGATATGACACAAAGTGTCAACATCACACGTCAGCAAACAGACATAAATGCCACATACTATCTGCTCTCCAACTTATTTCCCAATTTTCAAGTGATCTGCGGCACAGATAATACTCAATTTCCAACTTTACCGCCAACTTCATCGGAAGTCGATGATCAAGACACTAGTGAGATACCCATGACTTACACATCATTCTCGCCTGTTGTATCAAGTTCATTTAAGGCAACCACTTACGCTGAAGAAACTACAACCACTGCATCACCTACTAAATCAAGTTCATTCAAAGCAACGACCTACGCTGAAGAAACTACATCGTCTGTTGGATCAAGTTCATTTAAAGCAACGATCTATGCTGAAGAAACTACAACCACTGCATCGCTTGTCGGATCAAGTTCATTTAAAGCAGCGACCTACGCTGAAGAAACTACAACCACTAAATCGCTTGTTGGATCAAGTTCATTTAAAGCGACGACTTACGCCGAAGAAACTACAACCACTGCATCGCCTGTTGAATCAAGTTCATTCAAAGCAACGATCTATGCTGGAGAAACTACAACCACTGCACTAATAACTTTCATCACTGTAGCAACACTCTCTCCTTCTCCTGTTTGGCAATCTCCAACGTGTGCTAATGGTAATATTGGTCTTAATTGTAATGTCACCGTTGATCTTTGTCAGATAACTAATCCATGTCTTAACAACGGCACATGCGTCAATACTTTATCGTCTACTTATACATGTACATGCATGCAAGGGTTCACAGGTTCACATTGTGAGATTGATATTCGACCTTGTAAACCGTGGACTTGTCTTAGTTATGGCCTGTGCAATGAAACTAGTCCCACAACCTTCCAGTGTGACTGTTATCCTGGCTATGAAGGTCTTAATTGTGAATCACTCACCGATTATTGTGATGGTATTGTATGTCAAAACAATGGACAATGTCGTCCGATTTTACTAAATTTCACATGTGAGTGTACGACAAAAGATGTTACCGGTCGATACTGTGAAATTAAAAGCAATTCGCTCGTTATCAAAGCCGCTGTCAAACGGTCTGTTGGATACATAGCCATAATAGCTATTGTCGGTGTTATTTCTATATTTGTCGGGTTTGATGCACTGACATACATTTTCAAAATTGATACAGTAAAGAGACATCGAAGATACCTCGCTAAACGACGTCGACAACAACGAGAACGGCAGTCGAAATCGAAATCAGTGATACGTTTTGTCTATGTCAATGCTTCGCCAGATGAATCAACAATTGAATCATGAACACGTTGACATTTTACGAAAGACAGTTTTTCTCTTTACAATATGATTTTTTCATTTGTAATTGTATTTGTTGTGTGTGAAGTCGTTGGTGATTCATAATATATACTTGTCATTACTCTAAGAGAACACATTTTTATGAACGATGAATTCTCATTGTTCCATTTCATTTCTCTTTATAAAGCAATACTAAGGATATAGTTGTGTGATAAAAATATGCTACCCACACCCTTCAACTATTACTCATCAGGATAAAATTCTTACTGCAAGCCGTCATGTTATTTCATCAGAGAGAATTAGTCATATGCAACATGGACTGACGTCACTGTTTAAAAGGTATCGCCTTCATTATTATTTCTACACGTAAGTTTGGTATTGCAAAATTACATGAAAAACGTTCTGTGCGATTATTCATCGCCTTTTTTCTATCGTATATTAACATATGAGTTCTTGCACAATTTTATATTTCTATTGGAACAACAAAAAATTGTAATGGATCTGAAAAGTGAATTATTACAACAACTTCAACAAGCTTCAGTTGAACAAAACAAAACTGAAACTAAATCAACTTATCATCAGAAGTACGACGACGAGTATTATTCCAAGTTAATATGGAATTCAACAAGTTATGATGATGTTGAAAAGATTCAAGTACAATTGGTAGTTGCACAGAATGATGATCAACGTGACCTTTTCGATTATATTCGTCATACTGTATCTTCAATGCCTCAATGTCAAGTTCCTGGTCGAACATTATCAGTATTGATTTATGACAAACAATCCGAAAGTTACCTTGGAATAATTCAACTTACAACGGATTTATTAAAAAGTGAATTTAAAGATGCATTTATAAATTTAGAAGAAAAAAAGAAAGGTCGACTTAAACAACATATTCGTGATCATTCAGCGAATTTATCTATTTGTGTTCCTGTACAACCATTTGGATACAACTTTTGTGGTGGAAAATTACTAGCAATGCTTGCATTTTCTACTGAACTTCATCAATTATACGAAAAACGTTATTCAAAATCTTTAGCTTTAATAACAACAACATCTATACATGGAAAATCAATTCAATATGATCGATTAAAACAATTGAAATTTATTGGTTATACAAAAGGATTTGGAACTAGTCATATTTCAGCATCTTTTATGGACAAAGTCAGAGAATATTTAAAAGTGAACAATCCAGAAGTACTTACTCGAAAACAATCTAAATGGCAATTACTTAAATTTGTAGCACAGAAATTGAATATCGATAGTAATCAATTATTTTATCATGGTGATCAACGAGGAATTTATTGTGGTTGGACTGGAACGAATGCTAATGAGTTTTTGTTAAAAACAAAAATGAATTTTGTACAAGATAAACTTCAATCTGTTGAATCAACTGCTTCGTTTTGGAAACAAAGATGGGCAAAACAACGAGCAACACATCTAAACAAAAGTCAAATATAAACTTTTAAGATTTTAAAAAATGGTGCTTCCAGAAAATTGTTAGTTCATACACTGAGATATAATAGATATTTGTGTTTTGTAAATATGTATTTATTGTGTGATAGGTAACTCTTACAATCAAATAAAATGACTGTAGTTTTAGCATATCGGAAATGTGAATATTCATCATAAGTTTTGAAATAGACTTTTTTTCAGTCAATCGATGCTATGAAAGCAATACAACTATTTTAAAATAACAATAAAATCGAACTCACCTTCAAGAGTTATAAACAAGAGAGGGTGTGGGCGTAGGTGAGTGAGGATAAGAGTGTCGGTGTAGGTGTGCATATAATGCTCAAAGATTTCCGTTATTTCCTAGAATTTTTGTAACTGACCTACAGTTTTAGAATATTTGGGACGTTTGAGGATTCTTTAAGATTCTTAAGGATTCCAAAATATTCCGCAGGATGCCGTGGAGTGATTTTGGATTCCAGGATTCCGCTCTTTGTCTCTTGCCCTCTATACAGCGGAAGATCCTTTAATGGTTCCGTAGAATTTTTTATTACGTTTTTCAAACTTTGAACATATTTGCAGACTTTTTCTTAACGGCCAAACCATTTCATGGGTTCAGTAGAGCATCAATTTTTTTTAAAGTGATCAGACGTTCAGAAAGAAAGTCTATTGAGATAAATGATCAACAACAATAATAAAAAGGCTCTTGCGTCTATACTTTAGCAATTAGAAAAGAGATAAGATTGTACATGTTTCAATGTTGTGCTTCGGTTAAGACAGTGTCGAGAACTTAAGTACTTATTCATTATACATCCTTTGAAAAATAATATGCTGTTTTCCTACTTACGAGCAGACGATTGTTCATCATCAATGGTAGTCAGAGTTGTAACACCTGCTTGCGATAACTGTTTACAACTTTGATTTGAAATATCAGAATGCAATTGACACTGATTACTCGTTGAATCGAAAGTAACTGTGCGACATGCAGTATTAGTCACACAAGCCTTTTCAGTCTTCTAAGTTTGATGCAGAAACCGTGGCTAAAGATGAACAACCTGGATAGTTACATTGATATTTAATATTGACGACCTTCCATGGCAGGGATACCTGTATATTTTGAGAGACAGAATCGATAATGATGACAAACAAGAGCAACAGTTTTATGTATGACATGTTTCAAAAAATTTGAAAAATAAAAGAAAGAAAAAATAAATATCTATACATGTTATTTATTAATGCAGATTGAAAAGGACTTTATTTTGTCCGTTTGCAAGTTTTTTGGTCGGATAGGCAATTATATAATTATGTTACTTTTATTGTTTGACAATAATTAAAAGAAGACTAATCTGGATATCTTAAAAATAAAATTTCTGTATTATCATTAATTTACAGTGACGTGTATCTCGAGTTTACATCGTCTAAACAAACGTCTTAAGTATGAGGGGAAAAGGTAAAGAAAGACTGTACAAAAATACTAAGTTAGCAGAAGTCTTTTTTACTATGCTTTAATATTTAATTACAAAATTTTTCATCACATTTTACCTTCATTAAAGATGAAGAATACAATACTAACATTTGTGATAGAAGAAAAACACATATAGTGGATCGAACGACACTTTATTATATTAACTCACAATCTTCATTACTCAAAGATGAGATCAGTCGTGACGCAAAACGTTTACGATATATCCTTCAATAATATTAGAGATTTTGATTATATGATATTTGTTCGAAATGAATTTAGAGCAATGTGACGAGAGAGAATATATATAACTACCAAGCGACAGAAAAAAAGAAAAGATTGCCTCAGTATATCAAATACAATAGATTTTATAAAAACTATCTTCAATACTGTTATTAATCGAACAGGAAAAATGAGAAAAGACTCACCTTTGTAACTATATAAGAAGATTAATTCTACATATTTAGTCATTAGACAACTAGATCTTTTCTTGCTGTGGTATTCAAGAGAAGTATTGCATCGAAAGGTTTTTTTTATTACGAGTGGTTGATAAAAACTAGAAAAAAGTGAAAGAGAGTGAAAACAATTTACTTTAATGGTAAAAAAACTAGAATGCATTTTTGTCGTAGAAAATGCAATGATGCTTGTAACTATGACAGAAGAAAAACGAGTGAAAGAATATGTTGAATTTACATTTTTGTATTGTAGATAAATACAAATACTTATGTCAACTGGCATATATATATATATCACGATAAAAAGGTAAATTATAGTTAACAATTAGTTTTTAATATGGAGAAAATCTTATTGTTTTTGTTAGGTTTGTATCGTATTCGATAATAGAATGCGAATATCAACATTTATAAGTTATATATTCCTACGAGTTTTTCCATACTACATAACCGATAGTGTTTACCATCAATTTTCATTTATCATCATTTTATTTCACTTAAAAATGAGCAATAAAATGGGTTTCTGTACTACGAAAGCATATACCTACATGTAACCATCGGGTGAACTTTAAATCAGACGTTCATCGCTAAGTCATCAGTAATATCATATTTCGTTGAAAAAATATTTATCTCTTTAGTAGAACTTACGTATAAATACTTTTTTCGTCTTCATCTTCAATTATATATAACCTTATGAGAGACGTCAGAATGACTTGTATATCTGAAGCTTGAGAATATTTAAGCGATGGAGTTCTCATATTCTTTTTTTTGACAATCCCAATTCTTATAGAATATCACGGCTGTTTCTACATTTAAAACAACATACTAATGGTCAAGAAAAGTGAGCTGCACAAAGTGCTAGCTCCGAATTGTCGTTTTTGAGATGCCAGCATTTTAGCGTCCACATTTTACCGAACACTATTATGTGTCTATGTGAAAGTGCCTAACTCTTCGTCAAACCCTTTCGAAATTTTAGAATTAGGCAATCTGACACCTTCAGTATTAACTGCGATCAGTACTTATTTAATTAGCAGCAATCAGGAAGTAGTATTCCGAGAACAGAACAATATTACTCAGAGCCCGGAAGCAGTATTCCCAGAACAGAACAATATTACTCACGATCGAGAAACAGTATTCTCAGAACAGAACAATATTACTCAGAAACCGGAAGCAGTATTTCCAGAACAGAACAATATTACTCACGATCGGGAAACAGTATTCCTAAAACAGAGCAATTGTGTTCTGTTTTGGGAATAGCACTTCCAGACATTGAGGCAGGTCAGTATTTTTAGAGTATGGTTCTGACTGATGAGAAATTCAAACAGAACAGAATCAGAAGTAACGTGCTTGTGGCATGATTTGCGTTGCAGAGTGCCGATTGTAGTTTTAACGACTTTGTTTGTATATCATTGATGAAATGAGGTAGGTTGATGCGTATGCTATTATCTAGAAAAGAAAGCCCCTGGAGATTTCGCGATTATTTCAAATATATGGCGAGTGGCTCAATGATGTGCGGGTTAAGAGATTTCAGATTCGCTCCATAGGCTATATAAACCCTGGTGAAACATGTTAATTTTGTTTCATCACAGAAATTTACTTTTACTGATTGTGTAATATATTACAAGCTTTGAGCAAAAAAGTGTAAGACCCAGTTTATTTGTTTTTGGTTGAAATATCAATACCCATCAACTGAAATATTTGCCGGACCTAGAGTCCAGCAGGCTGTCTCGATCCATATTTTGTTTCCTGAATCCGGTCACAATCCCATTGGGATTGTGCTCAAAATAACGACTTTTTCCCAACTAGGTGACAGAGGGATGAGACTGGAGAATCCTGAGGAAATACTTTAGTGGATTTCAAGTCTGGATAAATTGTATTCGCAGAAAGTGATAACGACATCGGCAACCCCGAAATTTCTTTTTATTGAGATAGGTTTCTGCCGAGTGACAGGCAGTCGGGATCGGGATGAAAAACCCCGGCTTCATCAGACCATAGCTCGGCCACAGCTGACGAAGTAGGAGTACCAAATACTTTTTGACAAACATCAATATCTTGAGCAAAGCGTTTCCTAGCTCTTTCCAGGGGAACAGTGGGCTCTTGTATCCTCACATTAGTCTCAATGAAAAAATAATTTAAAGAAAAGATATCGTGCGGGAGGGTATAGGCGCCAGTTCCTTTTTAATCACAATATTGTAATAAGAAGTTTTGTCTAGAATATTGATTTTAGGTCAAATGGTTAGAAGATAATATGAATAATACGTATAGTTTTTTTTCTAAACTGGAATTCGGAATAAACTTGTAAATTTACTAGATTATTAATCAGATTTTATTTAAAATGTACGTTAAGCTAATAATTTAATGGTCAAGTTAAGTGAGCTCTAAATTTGAAGTTTACGAGTCTGAAGTCTTTCGACAAGTTGTAATTTGTAGCTGTGTACTTTTTTTCTCCAGCATCCCCAGTCAGCTCAATACAGTTCAGAGTATCTATTAGAACAATCAAAAACAGATGGTTATAGTTCTAAGTAAAATGACGAAATAAGATATCGAGTAACTACTTCTCTTTAGTAAATATGACTTCGACAGAAACTGGAATTGATGGTAAAGGTGAAGATGCTGAACGAGTTATTTTAACTGGTTCTTCACCACAGAACGAATTGGAACGTATGAA